CTCTAAGGCTCATCATTTGCAGCATAGCTTAAGTTGAGAAGGGCTATCTGCCAAAGACCCCTGAGTTCGATTACACTTAGCATCGAGGGCATATCATTATCAGCAAAACTTAAGTCTAGAAGGGTTATCTATCACCAAAAGACCTTTGAGTTCGACTACACTCAGCTCAACGGCACATCATTTGCATCATAGCTTAAGTCGAGAAGGGCTATCTGCCAAAGACTCCCGAGTTCGATTACACTCAGCTTCGAGGGCACGTCATTTGCAACATAACTTAAGTCGAGAAGGGTTATCTGCCAACCAAATACCTTCGAGTTCGACTACGCTCAGCTCCAAGGCACATCATTTGCAGCATAGCTTAAGTCGAAAAGGGCTATCTGCCAACAGAAGACCTTCGAGTTCGATTACACTCAGCTCAGAGGCAAACCAAATTTATAGAATAACCCAAGGTTGCAATCGAGGTTTTCAAGTCAAGGAGATGACCTGGGTTAATCGTACCTTAGTGACAAAAAAACTATTTCCCGACAGCATAGCTTAAGTCGAGAAAAACTATCTGTCAACGAAGACCTTACGAGTTCGATTTCATTCAATCGAGGGCCTATCAACCACATGGTGGAGTCAAAGAACTACTTTTCAGCCAAATTTTAACCAAGGTCTGTAAACCGAGAAGAAGACTGAAGTTGACTACAATTTGGCAGCGAGAAGCCATCCATATCATTTCAAGGTGGACTCGACTTCGCGACGGAGGAGCCATCCGCAACTTAATTCGACAGGGAGTTACTCTTAATTGAAATCAATTTTCAACTCCATCGAACGAAAATTTGTGTTCTTTTTATCTTTGTCCTATTTTTCGTTCCACGATAAATGACAAAGAGGGGCAGCTGTAGTCACACATTTTCGTTCGATATCACATAATGTTTCATGACGTGTTTATAATATATGATACGCTTATGTTATGTGGTATATACGTATTGTACATTTAAAATATCACTTACATTATAATGTGCATACGTATAATATAAAGTATCATACATATATATACATTAAATTATTAATAACGTTTGTTTTCTTTATATTTACAGGCCCCAACAAAACATGTGGCCCAACAACCCGTTTGGCAGACCCAAAGTATTGGTCAACCCTAGCTACAGCTTCCATCAAGCGCCGTTTCTGTCAAGGAGTCCTTCTCACCCACGTCCGAGTTTCACGGCAACACGCCTCCACCTCCAAACCGTCCGACGCTCATCACCAACAAACAAAAGAGAAAGTTAAGATTTGTTTAAACTAAAAATAGCCTTTTTCAAGGCTATAAAACCATGTAATCACCACTGTTTTGAGAGAGGGGGAAACAAATACGAAATACAAGTTTTTTTTACACCCATACATTTTATTTTATTTTATTCATTTTATTTTATTTTATTTTTATTTTTTATTTTCATTATTTTATTATTTTTGTTTATTATCTTTTTTCACTAACTTTTAATTATCTCTGTTACCTATTTTATATTAGAATTTTTTTTTCTCGTATTTATTTTTATTTTATCATCTAACATTTTTTTGGAATTTTCAGTGGTAATTTTGATCAATCAAAGGTAATTATTCGAATCGAATTTTTAAATTTCAATTTAAATTCTTAATTTTCGCTACTAAGACAACCGACAAATTAATTGGTACCGAAAGGGCGGTTCAAGGGTGCTAATCCTTCCTTAACCGTAACCGACTCCCGAACCCGACACATTTCTGGTACAACGCAGATCAGGTAAGATGGTGTCCGACCCACCTAAATTCGTTTTAAAGTGGTCGGTGACGACTCTAATCCAATTCATTCAAGTCGAAGCCCAACTCCGGTGTCCAACCGAAAGACGGTTCCGACGTTAAGACGATATAGGCAAAGACTCTGAAGAAGACCCTAAAGGAACACAAAGATCTGATTTCCAAATCGATGTTAAAACACTCTCGTTACCGTCCACAGTGAATCATTGAGGTTCTGTCATCGTTAAATTTTAACCATATTATGATGTGGATAGTTGTTTTTGTCACTATGATGACGTTAACAAAACAACATCGTTTTGGCAATAACCATTGATACATAAAATGATGTTTTATACACTAAACTTTAGGTGTGTATCAATTTTGCCACAAAGCTTTTAAACATGTTCATTTTTGACACTGCACTTTCGTGACTGTTGCTAACAACTAAACAATAATCATCGTCTGTCACTGATAGCCATCATCAATTGCCACCGGTCATCTTTCACAACAAGATTGATACAAAAAAAACGTTAGCATTTCATTTCTCTTTGTTCCCATAAGATCTATTTTATACGAAACTCGCTCAAAATTGTCGAAAAATCATTTAAAAGTTCAACGTGCAATACTTTGCTTTTTTCCAATGACCATCTGATAAGGTTAACTTTGAGGTATGTTGTTCGTCTTCTCGAAATAATGCTTCTCACCGTTCGATTTTTGAACAAACACCTCCAAATCTCACAAATCTAAGAAAACCCTCAAAACCCTAAAAATGACATTATTCTATCTTTTTTGTTTAATTTCGTCGATTTTGAGTATATTTCGTGAAAAACTAATCTTAGAAGAAGAAAAATGAGTGAAATGTTAATATTCTAGTATCAATATTGTTTTAAAAGATAACCTGTGACAGGGGCTGATTGATTGCCAACGACGGTCGGAAATGTGCAATGCCCAAAATGGATATGTTTAAAAGTTTTACAGTAAAACCTATACATCCTTGAAGTTTTTTTTGTTAACCTGGAGTAAGTACAAGACAATATTTGTTTAAAAACAACTCTCAGCCATTTGACATTGAATGCTCACACCCCTAACATTCTTGGTGCTCGAACCTGAGACCTTAAGGAATAACAACAATTTCTTTATCACTAAGGTCACTCATTTCGTGCTCCCTAAAGTTTAGTGCCTAGAATGATATCACTTTAGGCATTACTAGTCACACCAAAATGATATCGGTTTGTCCATATCATTGCATCATTGGTCCAGTGGTAAAATTAAAGTTAAATTATATAATTGAAGAAATTAAAAGTTTAGCGGTATAAATAATACAGTACATAAAATTCAGTGGTATTTGGGATAATTTACCCAAAAATTTAAATGTTTAGACCCATTGATTGCTCAATCATTGGGTCAAGCTAGACATTTGTTACATAGTCAATATAATTAATATTTAGTTTAGCCTTAAAGGTCCAGTTACCTCCTAAAATTTACCTCTCTTACTGAATTACCTCTTAATATTTTTAATATTTTATCCCCTTAATTTCAAACAGTTATTTATATTGTCTTAATTTTTTTATCATTAAAAAATATATGTAGACTAATATAAATACATTATGTGACACTTTTGATCCAAAATAACTAATGACTACAATAAAAAAGACGTAAACTTTATGTCAAATCTCTTATGTTTTATTTTTTTCGTTTAATCCCTACATTTGTGTGTAAAATGAAATTGACCTATATTTGTTTCTTACCGTTATTAAATTTAATCCAATATTATTTTTATAAAATATTAACATAATAAATAAAAAAACACTAATATTAAAATAATTTCAAAATAATTTGATATATTTAATATTGATATTCACATTGACATTAAAATAATATAAATATAAATATTAAATATATTATTTTCATATTTAATGCAATTTTTTAATTCACATTTAAATTCTCAAATTTCATTCAAGTGTAACAATCCAGAACACCAGTAGAGCATAAAGCGGGAGATTAATTAATTAAATTAAGGGTAAATTACGTGTTGAGTATCTAAACTATCAATTTTAGTTTATTATGGTACCTAAACTTTCAATTTTTCGAAACCATACTTTGTTTCATTTTAGTACAATGTTATTAAAAACTTAACGCGTTTAGTACTAAACTATCAGTTTTAGTCCGTTTTAATACATAGACTTTGAATTTTTTCAAAATTTATAGTTAAATTTTTAACAGTGGTACTAAAATGATATTTTAATACTAAAATTGACCAAAATTGATAATTTGATTCTAAACACATAATTTACCCTTAAATTAACTTCAAGTTGAAATTACTATTCATCGATCGTTGATGATAATTTATGATCGCATGATACTAACTAAAGGCCACATTAGATATCAAACAAGTTGACCAAAAAATTTAAGAACCTCAAGTACCTTTAACCCTTCTTTTTATTAGTAAAATGACTGAATTGATCTATTTAATAATAAAGGAACTGATTCGAACTAGTCTCTGTATTAGAGTGGCTAAATTGGCTAGTAAATTGATACAACGGGTATTTTAACCCACTACTTTTCCTCAAATGTCGACTAAATCTCGAATAAGTGGTGACAGTGAGATCTTAATATGACCAACGCTCAGAAACAGCTTTATGGATCATAATCCTGCAGTAATTCTAACAGTAAAACCAAGTTCCAATGCCTCAACTATCCCGAAAACAATAAAGGGTAAATTACGTATTTAATACATAAATTATCAATTTTAATCTATTTTAATACCTAACTTTCATTTTTTGTAAAATCATACCTAACATTTAGTTTTCATTTTATTTTAATACTGTCTTTAAAAATTTAACGCATTTAGTACCTAAATCAATAATTTTGACCCATTTCAATATATAAACTTCAATATTTTACAAAACATAACGTTACATTTTGAATGAAGTATTAAAATAAACAAAAATTAAAGTTTAGGTATGATTTTATAAAATTTAAAAGTTTAGATACTAAAATTGATTAAAACTGATAATTTATAAACTAAATGCCTAATTTACCCAACATTCAAACCAACAAGATAATCAAAATTACGAAAGGGGTTCATTAACGGGGAACCAATAACAACAGTGCCAAAGAGGACTGAACAAAGGAATGACTTGAAGAATGCTAAGACTTAACAGTCGAAATCAATGTCAATTAAGCAAACTCCTGTGAATAATATGTTATTCTTAAGACGACGTAGGCAAAGACTCTGAAGAAGACCCTAAAGGAACACAAAGATCTGATTTCCAAATCGATGTTAAAACAATCTCGTTACCGTCCACAGTGAATCATTTAGGTTCTGTCATCGTTACATTAATTAATAATTATTTATTGTTTTTACTTGCACCAGCGCCGCCAGCATTGCTCCCTCCGGTTGCCGCCTGCGCCGCCTTCTTCGCAGCCTTTTCCTGCAAGGCCTTCGCATCTCTGCCCATTCAAAGTTCCAAAATCAAGGACGGATAAGACTGAAATTTGCAGAAATAAAAATAAAAATTGAGAACAAAAGAAGAGTAAGAGATGAAACCTTTCACGGCGTTGTTCGGGGGTTAACCCATCGTCCTTGGTCTTGCCTTTGCCGGCAACTCGAGCTTGAGCCCTTTCTCGATCTCGATCTCTCTGATTACCGCGTTAGCTTACGTTAAAGATTTAACATCAAATTAAAAACATCCATTAAAGAAAACAACAGTTGAGCCCCAAAGTTCATGAATTATGCATTAATCATACAACTCGAAAGGATATGAGTCATGATTGATTCCCGGAAACCAAGCTGCGATCAGCAAACGTTAACCGCTGAAAAATTCAAAAGAATCGACGAATCAACAAAACGATGAAACACACAACAGAAGAATTGAAGAGTTAAATAAATAAACAGATTGAGAGAGTGAGAAAGGAAAATTACCCGCAAAAACAGGAGAAGTGAAATCTTGTAGTAGAGGAGAAATGAGGCGTGGACTTCAGAAGAAAGAAATTTATTTGCGGGCCAGTGGATCTGGGGAAGGTTCGAGGAGCCGCATATATTCGTTCTTAGCTGGACAAATTGCAACTAAAAACTTAGCTTTTAATAATAAATATATAAAATTTGAAGCAAGTTGGGATAGCAGTCGCCGTCAATTTGTTGGGCGGCGATTTATGGAAATATGGATGCCACGTTTGGGATTAATCTCTTTCTCACCGTCCGATTTCGAGGAGACTTTTCTCGATCTCTTCCTTTTTGTTTCAGATATTATTCAGGGTAAAATACACTCTAAGTCATCAATAATTTGTTCGTTTTAAATTGGTCATAACTTTTTAAAGATCATAATTTTGTCGCTCAGTTAAAATAGTATTGCAAACATGTCATTATAATGCTGAATATTGGACTGATTAGTGTTGTGGCCTTATTTAATAATAATTTTAATCTCAAAACTTATAGTATATTTTATTAATTTAATTCTAAAAATAAAAAAAATTAAAATATAAGAAATTAAATTTATAGAATTATTTTAAATAATAACCTGCAAATTTTATGAACTAGAATGGTTATTATACTAACATTAAATTTGTACTTCATTTATAATATAAACACGTACTTAAGCATAAAGTTTATGAACTAGAATGGTTATTATACTTAAGTTGGAGTGTAAAACACATAGGCTTGGCGTAAAGTTCAAGTGGATTCCTCCAAATCATATATAAACAAAAGAACATTAAGCATAAGGGTAGTCCATTAATCAAGCTATTAAATACTACGGGTCTTGCATGTGAGCTCATCAATATTAAGATAAGATAAACGTACCGTGTCTAAAGTCAAACTAATACTTAATTATTCCCACCTATTTAGAGCTAGCTAAAACCGTCGATGTAATTGTTTTGTTTTTAATATATAATATTACAATGAATGTAAATTTTAATATATGATGATAATATTTGAAGAAAAAAAACTAAAAATAATATTTGAGAATAAATTAATAATGTATGTGTCTCGACCGCCTTTCGGGTTGGGCCCGGAATTCGGCTTCGACTTGAAATAAAATATGTTGGAGTCGCCACCGATCATTTATTTTTCATAAAAAATTGGTTGATCGAATACCATCTTACTTTATCTGCGTTTTACCAGAAATATGTCGGGTTCGGGAGTCGGTTACAGTCAAGGAAGGATTAACACCCTTGAACTGCCCTTTCGGTACCATTTAATTTACCGGTTGTCTTAATTACGAAAATTGAAATTTAAATTACAATTTGGATATTCGATTCAAATTACTTACCTTTGATTGGTTAAAATTATCCTAAAAAAATCATAAATAAAGTTAAAAAATAAAACACACAAAAACAAAGAGTTAGTATTAAAATCTAAATAAAAAATAAATAAAAGAAAATTTGAATTTTAAAAAAAAAAATAAATTGGAAAGGATTAAAATTCATGGATCAAATTAATTCTAGAAATGAACTGCAAGAGAAAAACATAAATTTAAGGGATTAAATAAAAAAAAATTTAAAGTACCAAAATAATACAAACAAAAATTTAAAGAATAAAAATAGTATTAACAGAAAGTAAAAGAATAATAACTAAATTCAAATAAAAACATAGCAATTGAATGATTAAATTAAAACTAAGTAAAATGTAAAGTTCAAAATAAAAACAAATGCACATAATGATCATAATACTAAACCATGGCTAGACTAGGGGGACTTAAGGTGATTTGATCATAAATCTAATAACTTAAATGTAACACATGAAAAAAGGATCTAAATAAGATTAAACTAAAATCAGTTACTAAAACGCAAAAAGCTATGAAATAAGGAGGGGTTAATGTGTGGTTTTACCAAAATTAAAATAAAATCAAACTTTTCCTTGTTAAATTCCAGAACACTATGAACCAAAACTAAAATCCCCCATTTTTCAATTTTCATTTTCATTCTGCGCGATGGAACCCTAAAATTTTATACCTTTTCTCTGGTTCCCTTCGCTTATTACTCCCACGACAACAACTCACCAACAAGCCGGAACAGCCTTCATCGCCTCCACCGAGAACCAAACATCGGACCACCCCACACGGTGGTCCTTCAACCACAAATCAACACCCAACGATAGAAAGGTATTTCCTCTATCTTATGTTATTATTATGTTTAGTTACTATGGAATTAGCATAAAACGTAGAACTAACAATACCAATTAAATTCTTTCCTTTATCGTAACCTGAGAACTGAATAAATAAATCGAAGAAAACTAGAATACCTCTTTGCTCTGTATTTTTTATTGCTGAAAAAAACGTTTATTCCTGTGAAAATTTTCTGTCTATTATCACTGAGCGTTTTTCTTCATTTTTTTTTTCAAAATCCCCTTCTAAAAAACAAGAGTAATCTCTTTTACAATTCTTCCTCCTTCCTTTTCTTCCATTTCAATCGGCTATTTATAGCCATTTTCTTACATAGCTTTTACATAAAAAATAACAATTTGCAATCTGATCATACTTTAGATCAGATATCACATGCGTCTGTAGGATTGGTAGGAAACAAGCATTAACGCTCTGGGGTAGTGATGGCAGCAAGTTGCTTAGAGAAGGGCCAGGGCGAAATGAAGTGTCTACAGCTGCCCCTCTTTGCTCATTATCGTGTAACGACAATAGGGCAAAGATTAAAGACACAAATTTCGTCCATATCAAATATCCTTTATCGTAGAGTTGAAATCCAATGTTGTTTGTGAGCACAATATCCTTCGTCGTGAAGTTGAAATCGTGGATGTTTCGAGTCCAATATCCTTCGTCATGAAGTTGTAATTGGCTCTGAATGAAATTGGGAAGCCCCTTCGCTGTGGAGTTGAGCTTTGAATTGGATATCATTCGCTATAAAGTTGAAATCCAATGTTGTTTGTGATGAAATTGAAATCGTGGATGTTTCGAGTCCAATATCCTTCGTCATGAAGTTGAAATTGGCTCTGAATGAAATTGGGAAGCCCCTTCGCTGTGGAGTTGAGCTTTGAATTGGATATCCTTCGCTGTAAAGTTGAAATCCAATGTTGTTTGTGAGCACGATATCCTTCGTCGTGAAGTTGAAATCGTGGATGTTTCGAGTCCAATATCCTTCGTCGTGAAGTTGAAATTGGCTCTGAATGAAACTGGGAAGCCCCTTCGCTGTGGAGTTGAGCTTTGAATTGGATATCCTTCGCTGTAAAGTTGAAATCCAATGTTGTTTGTGAGCACGATATCCTTCGTCGTGAAGTTGAAATCGTGGATGTTTCGAGTCCAATATCCTTCGTCGTGAAGTTGAAATTGGCTCTGAATGAAACTGGGAAGCCCCTTCGCTGTGGAGTTGAGCTTTGAATTGGATATCCTTCGCTGTAAAGTTGAAATCCAATGTTGTTTGTGACCACGATATCCTTCGTCGTGAAGTTGAAATCGTGGATGTTTCGAGTCCAATATCCTTCGTCGTGAAGTTGAAATTGGCTCTGAATGAAACTGCAAAGTTATGCATATATGCGATGCTATGGATGCAATGCTCTTAGGTATGCCTAAAATGCATATGCAACATATGCTATTTTGGGTTCTGGAGAGAAATCTCGATATCCGATTGCCTGTCTTGTTGTGTCTTGATTCTGGAATCTTGAAGTTCTAATTCCCGATCTTGAATTCTTCAAATATTTAAATCTGATATTTTTTATCCTTGATTTGGAAAATGGTTATCGACCATCTCAATTATGTGCATGAGCCTTGATCGACTTTCCGAGTACCTGTACTTTTCAAAGAGTCTTTGTACAGTAATATACAATTATCTTTTGCAAAAGTAAATAAATCATTAGGTTTAAATTCAACCCAAGATGCTCAAAAGGAATTGATTTAGAGAAAAGATTGTCTTTATTCATAAGGGAAAAAGAACAAATGACAAACATTTTGGAAAATGAATATATGATGAAGTGTGAATGAATGTCTTAGATCTTGATAATGTGGGTACTGTTGAACTGATAAGCCGTTAAGTGACCTTGAACGCAACCTTTGCCGAGGGATCTTTGAAGATGCGACAATGTTCAGGAAAGTGCAACCTTTCTCCGACTCGTTAATCTTGTAGAGGATTCAGATGCCGGGATGTCTGGATTTCTTGAATTAATATCCAAATCGCCCTTTCGGGTTTTCAACTTGGACCCATCCTTGGTTGCAAGACGCCCTTTACAGGTTTTCATCTTGAACCCACCTTATTTTTTTTTTTTTTTTTTCTTCTCTTTTTTCTATTTAGTGTGCCCTTTCGGGTTTTCACCCTAAACATTTTTCTCTTTTTTGTTCTTTTTTTTTCTTTTTCTTTTTCGACTTAGGATGCCATCTCGAGTTTTCATCCTAAGCGAAGTATTTTTTGACTGCATCCGAATTGATAGGATGTGGCAGTTCTGGTCCGTCCATTTCAGCAAGGACAAGGGCTCCTCCAGAAAAGGCCTTTTTTACGACATAAGGTCCTTCCCAATTTGGCATCCATTTTCCTCTGTAATCTTTATGGATTGGCCAAATTCTCTTTAGCACTAGGTCTCCTTCACGAAATATTCTCGGGCGCACCTTCTTGTCATGTGCCCGAATCATTCGTTTCTGATAGATTTGACCGTGATGAATGGCTTTCAGTCTCTTTTCATCTATCAGGTTCAACTGATCGTATCGAGATTGTACCCATTCTGCATCATCCAGTTTGACCTCTGTCAAGACCCGTAATGACGAAATTTCTACTTCAATGGGTAGTACTGCTTCCATTCCATAAGCTAGTGAAAATGGAGTTGCCCCAGTCGAGGTTCGTACCGAGGTTCGGTAAGCGAACAAAGCAAAAGGCAATTTCTCATGCCAGTCTTTGTAGGTCTCAGTCGTTTTCTCCACTATCTTTTTAATGTTTTGTTTGCTGCTTCTACTGCTCCGTTCATCTTTGGTCTGTAGGTAGTAGAATTGTGATGCTTTATGTTGAATTGCTCACAAACAGCTTTCATCATTTTGTTGTTCAAGTTTGTAGCATTATCAGTAATGATTCTTTCAGGTAAACCATACCGACATATGATTTCTTTCTTCAAAAACTTGCAAATAGTGGACTGAGTAACA